GTGGGTCCCCCCTCTCTGAGCTGCTAGGAGGCAGGGTTCACTCTGCTCTGATGACTGCCCTCTTTCCCACTCTGAGACACAGAGCAAAGGCCATCCTAAATAGCTGAAAAAAACTGACAAAAAGCACTTTAGAAGCTGAATTCCACTCAACAGAAAGCCAACAGTTCTACCTAAGGGAAACTTTAGAAGAGATAAATGTTCACATTTGAGCATGTTTATAGTTCTTGCAAATGTAGAATTAAGCAAATGTAGTATTTCAACAGCAAATGTAAGTATGTTTGAAACCATTCGGGGGTTACAATAATCATTCTCAAAGTGTGGTCCTCAGTTCAGTAGCATCAGCATCAGCGTCGCTGAGGAATGTGCTAAGAAATGCAAATTCTCGGGCTCCAGATCTGCCAGGAGTCATGGTACGGGAGTCATAGTCAGGAACGTTAGGGGTGGGACCCCCTGGTCTCTCTCTTACCAGGCCCTCAGAGGGATGTTGGCCTGTGGGACAGTGTAAGCATCAGTGATCTAGAGAGGCAAAGGGATGACATCACCCAAAAATAGAGTTTTGGCAAAAAAAAATTATGATTTCTAGAAGAAATAAAATTTGAATACTATAGCAAGGAACTATACTAATTCTGTCCTTCTCTAATTATCTCCCTGGCCAGATAATCTTAATGGATGGATGGAGATATATATCTATATATACACCTATATATAGATATATATAATTTTTTTTTTTTTCAAAAAGAACAAGGAATGGAACACATGACTGCTCATGTGGTCAACGCACACATTACGTGATCTTTAGCAAAAGGTAGTTTTTCTCCATCAGAAACAAACACAGTGGATGACCAGCAATTAAAGTTTCCAAATCCTACTGTGAAACATACCATACACATGTGGAAGAAGGAGCTCTCGCCGGGATTTCTAAAGTCCGGCGGAGGAGATGGGCTCCCTAAACCACGGGCGGGTGCTGCACGGCTCGTCTCCTTGGCAGACCGCATCACAGGCGTAAGCTGTCTCTTTCCAAATAATGGCTTCAAGGACGGAGGATGGAGCTCCTGTAAAGCTAAGTTACTGACAACTTCCAGAGCCTCCCAAAATGCCCGCTGCTGGTTTTTCCTAACTGTGAGCACGGCTTTCCAACCCTATCCGCAGAGTACAAATACATGCGGGGAAATGCATCAGGGTGTCTGGTGAGCACAGAGGACAGGCAGGAACTTGGAATTCTCTAGACTTCATGAGCTGTGGATTCGCAGGTGCACGCAGGAAATCAGAACATGGAGGGTAAGAAACGGTGCTGTTTTCACCTTGAGCTGCTGAGAGAAATGATAATTATGGGGCTGGGAGCAAGGGAGAGAAGACGGTAGAAACAGAGGGTAGGTATTGAGATTTGGGACAGGAAAGGGCACCCAAACAGGATCCTTTGGTTGGTCTGTTCATTCCTTGATAAAACATGCCTGACAGATAGCTCTGAAAACACCCAGGATATCACTCACACCGGCAAGCCCAGGATGTGGTAAGGTTTGTATTTATTTTTCCAAAACAGGCGCTCCTCCTCCCTTAAATGCACGCATGTCCTAGGCAACTCTACCGGTAGTCTGCAAAGACGCAGTGTTAGGTGTATTTTTATTTTTCAAAACAGGGAAATACTGAGTATTTTTAAATGCACGATAACGTCAAGCAAGCGCCTCAATTATTTATAGCAGAATCCCTCAGATCTTAAGGAGGCCTATCTGGAAGAAGAGCTCGGAGAAGCCGCTGAGCTCCTGCAGAAGCCAGGTGTCCTGTGGTGACCTCAATCAGAGGAAAGTCCCAGGCCCAAAGATGGCGAGAGAGAAGGGAAATGAAATGAAGATGTCCCTGCATCCCATCAGAAGCCTTTCCGACCCCGGCAGGACACGATGTTCTGTTAGATTACAGCTGCTATGTCAAGGGCTCACATCGGTCTGGTGGTGGCTCTGAAAGCCAGGCTCTCATCTCAGAAGTGCCAAAGTGAATAGCAAAGGAGACAAAGGATAAGAGAGCATTGGCCAAGAGGCAGAGGCAGAGAGGAGATGGTGGAAAATGAATAAGGAATGGATCTGTCCATCTGTCCATCCATAAAGTTCCTCAACAGCCTCAGAGGTCCCAGGTGGGAGTAGGAAAAGCAGACCTAGGTCTGCTGTTGGGAGAAATGCAGCAGCACGCCTTGGAGACCCCCAGAACATCCCTTTGGCACAAGGCAGGCATCCCAACAGGGAAAATGCCACGCGTGAAGGCAAAAGCCACTAGGACCAGCAGCCCTGCACACCGTCACAGCCCTGCACATTGGGTCATGTGGCCCTCCTCAGCCCAAGCCAGTGCTAGAGAGGGTGCAGGGCTGATGGGGGGGTCCTCTCCTGCCTCCATTCCCCTGGAATCACACTATTAGTGTGCCATAGCTTGCTTTTCTAAGTTAAGACAAAATGCAAAAAATCAGGAGAGTGTCCTATAAAAATGGTTAAAATACAGTGTCAATAATTAACATTTCAATTATTTAGAAAGTCAGCATATTCTCTCATAATCTGAGACAAACAAGACACGGGAGCTTATCCAAGTGCTAAGACGGAACCCAGGTGAAGAAAACTCAGGCGTACCTCAGAAATACTCTATAGACCATCGCAAAGAAGCCAATGTCACAAGAAAGCAAATCAGATGAATTCTTTGGTTTCCCAGTGTGTATGAAAGTTACGTTTACACTATCCTGTAGTCCATTAAGTGTGCGATAGCATTACGTTTAAAAAATAATGCACACGTCTCAACTAAAAATACTTCATGGCTAATAAACACTAGCCATCACCTGAACTTTCAGGGAGTCAAAAATCCCTGATCACAGATCACCATAACAAATATAAACATGAGGAAAAAGTATCAAATACTGTGAGAATTATCAAGATGGGACAAGGACACGAGGTGAGCAAATGCTAGTGGAAAATGGTGCCAATCAGACTTGCTCACCACAGGGCTGCCGCAAACCTCCAGTTTGTGAAAAACACGCACGTGCGAAGTGCAATGAGAAGGGGGAGGCCTGTGTCCCCCCATCACGAGGATCTGGTCTCTGAGTTCAGACAGTGACACCCGCCGAATATGTGTTTCCTATGGAAATGTAGTAGGAAGTCTGCCCCGAGGCCAGCAGTTGGGAGGGCGCTTTTCTCATCTACCCCGTCCCCGAGCCCTAGATAGGAAGAACAGTAAATGAGGCTAAGGTCTCCGCACCGCAGGGTTGCTTTGACCCCTCTCCATTCTTAAAAGTGTCTTCAAACTCAAAAATTATTATTTTTTTTTTTTAGTTTTTTTTTTTTTAAAGTAATCTCTACAACCAACGTGGGGCTTGAACATACAACCCCAAGGCAAGACTCACACGCTCCACCAACTGGACCAGTCAGGTGCCCCTCGAATTCCAAATCTCTATATCAAGCTTATACTTTCTGACTCAGGATTATACTTATCCCTTAGGCACTCTGGACCAACCACCTTCTACCATAATTGGTTTTACAGTGATTCCTCTAAGTTTCTGCTCAAGAGTTAAACGTGCAACATACTTCATCCTCCTAAGCCTCCGGCATGATCTGAAGGCAGCTCTGCGCAGAGCTTACGTCACGTGAGAACGATTCAATCTGATGGCCTGCCAGCAACGATAAGCTCTGGTGGCTGGATAAGAAAATCACAGAGTTCAGATTTCAGAGGGAGTTAATATCCAGGCCTGGGGTGCTTGCCTCAGCACATCTAAGGTGGCTGCCAACGCTGCGACCTGCTGACATGGTGAGGGGTCCAGTCGCCACCACCATGATGCTCCTCCTGCCTCGAAGAACACATCGCAGGTGCCTCTTTCTCAGAGAAGGAAAAACATTTCCATGGCCTCGAGTTCCTCGCAGATCCTTCTACAAGAGTCTTAAATATGCACTGACTGATGGCGCTATCAGCCTTCCCAGAGGACCCCAATTACAGTACAGTTTACATATTTCCTAGTCTTGTAGTTTGCATTTTAAAAATTAAACTGAAACCTGCCAGAACCGACACAACATAATTGCAATGCACTCTATCTACAGCACTCTTGTTTCGGGGGAATCTTATTATATGGAAGGTGCATCTGCAAAGGGATCAACAAAACCAGTTGGGTTGAGTATTTCCACAATGTTTACACATGAAAAGGTTACCTTGCGTGACACTTGCCCTGTTCTTCCAGACAGGCTCAGCCACGTACCCAAAACACAAACCCCAGATCTGTCGACCGACCGCTGGAAGAGGATCTGCTATGAGGCAAGCGGCCTCCTACCTCTGATTCAGTTCACACACGCAAACTCTGCTCTCTTAAGCCCTGTCTTCTTCTTTTCAATTCCGTTCATAAGTGCTTTTTAAAAGCTTTTCGGAGATGAACTCCACGATGCTGCCTGCAGCAGAGATGACCGTAGGACTGTATGGTTTCAAAAGGAAAACCAACCAACACACAGAGGCTGTGTCAGAACCCAGGTGCCCCGCCCGCTGAGAGCAGCAGACACGCCTCGGACCCAGAGAGGAAACAAAGTCAACCACCAGGGCTTCGGTCGGCAGGGAGTGGGCTCGTGAACAGAATGGGAAGCCTAGAGAGAAAAACGATGTCTGAGTCTGTAGAACATTAAAGGGGTAATTTCTGTAGAGCAGCCAAACCACCTTCAGGAGCTATAAAACCACCTTCCTTACCATCCCATCTGCAAGAGTACATCTACAGGACAATGACAACCACTGTCCCCAGCTGGGTTCCCATCCCCACGGCAGACGTACGTCTATTACAGAGCAGCAACCTTACATGGGTTTACAGGTAAATCGTATTTCCCAAGCTTAACTGGAGCCCCAGATATGGGGGGCTCTAGGCTACCAGGAGCTGTAGACATGCTCTGGCTATGGGCCGTGTGTGGACAGAGAAGGGAGGTGACCGGTGCAGGGCACGATGTACCCATGGAGGTGAGTATACCGCGGCCGCCAGGCCTCTGCCACCCCGGGGCACTTACCGAAGACTCGCTGTCCCTAATGAGGAAGTCGCCCTCGACGCCCCGCTCGTTGAGGGCGCACTCGGCCTGGTGCCGTGTCACGTTCCCGTAGTACCACTCTCGGCCCGCGAAGCGCCCGCTGCACGCGGGGCCCGCGTAGCTTATCTGCGGCGCGTGCGAGGGGTGCAGGGCGGGCCCGTCGCTTAGGACCACTACGTAGTTTTTGGGGACCAGGCCGACCTGCCCCCGGGCGTTTTTGCACTTCCACCACTCAGGGTCGTTCTCGGGCTTCTCAATCACCTCCATGGTCTCCCCCTTCTCAAAATTGAGCTCCTCCTCGGTGACCGAGCTGAAGGGGTACAGCGTCTGCACCACATGCAGGACCCGGGCGCCCTGGCCGTTGCTCATGGAGGCGCCTTTGCGCAGGCTCAGGAAGCTGGGGGACTCAGCGGCCGCTTCGTCCGTCTCCTCTAGGACATAGTTGGAGGGGAACCAGCCGATCTGCCCATTGTAGCTGCCTCGCCACCAGCCGTCGCTGCACTTCTCCATGACGGTGACGCGCGACCCCTTCACCAGGGACAGCTCGTCCTCCCGTTCCGCCACGTAGGCGAACTTGACAAAGGCAGGGATGTTGAGGTCATAGATGCGGTCGGCGCCGCCCCCATTGGCAGGGTACTCGGCATCCGTGCTGGGCGTCGGGGACGCGTCCCGCGCGCTCGTCTTCCTCTTGGTCTTGCCGAGGCCTGCGGAGACACAGCAAGGGCTCAGTGGGCACACACGGGGCATCCCTGGTGTTCAGATACGCCTTCCCCAGCCCTCTGACACACCGGGGGCAGGAGGGAGACAAAGCCACCACGGGCACACCCTACAGCCATAGCCAGCAAAGGGAGGTGCAGCTGAAGTGCACCTTTGCAAAAGCTGGGGATTTCTACACCTCCCCTCTCTCTCACTCACTTGGGAAAGATTGCCAGAGTACTAGCAATGCAAAAAGATTACAAAAGAGCAGAGAGCTAGCTTCCTTTGGAAGGATGCTACTTTTTAGAAAATTCCTGTGACCCTCTTAGAGAAAAATAAGGTAGAGTGGCTTAGATAGGATGTCTTTGGCCTTCGTACCCACCAGGAAGTTGGATTGATGAGCTCAGATCTGCTCTAAGTCTAGGACTGGTCAGAACTGCCTGCCCAGCTCCCACCTCACCAACCCAACGCCTGTGCCACTTCGGGGACACTCTGGGCCCTCCCAGAGCTGTCTGGCAGTAGACTGGCCCCACTGGGTACAAACCAATACCCTCCTCCTTCTCCTTCTCTCGTCTTCCTGCAATTCTGTCCTTTCAAAACAAGAGACTCATTTCCCACATGTTGTGATTAGCCAATTAGGAAAAAATTGTTCATCTGTTAAGCCTAAGGCAGAATTTCTCATGTGGTGATTCAAAACCCACTAGTGGATCATAAAACCAATTTAATGGGTTGTGACCGTCTTGTTTGTGTGTGTTGTTTGGGTTTTCTTTAAGGGAATAAGAAAATCTCAAAGCGCATCGAGCAGAGTCTGAAGCTTCAGATATGTAAGGGAGTGAGTACTGAGTTGCACTGGGAAACTTACTTCCTCCTGTGCAAGGGAAAAACAGTGTGAAAAGTTCTAAGGTAAAAGTGTTTCAGCCCAGGTAGAACAGAGAGAATTCCGGAACCTTCTTGAGAAGTGAGCCTAGGGGAGAAAGGTACATTGGTGTTCAGAGCCATGGAGGCCACTAGCCTCACAGGGCAGGCAGGCTCCCCAGCTTTACCTGATAGCTGCCCGCCCACCAGCTCCACAACACCTCCTAACTTGTCAATGTGGGGATTTTGATGGTATGGAAACTGGCCATTTGCAGATAACCACCCCCACAAATGACACCAAAGCACTTTTATGGGTAGAGCTTGTACCTCTCATTTTCTTCCATTAAATGGAGTAAAGACAGAATGATCCTAAGGATTATCTTTGCTTCTACTCCCTTGTTGAGCAGGCAGGAGTTCAAGAGGAACAGAACATTGCCTTATGACCATTGTCTACTGTGGGGTGTTGAGCACCGCCTCCTAGACCAGCACCCCCACACCTCCAGGCTCAGGCTCAGCTTCCCCACACTTAATGCCAGCAGTGGGGTCTGGCCATTGTAAGGCCCTTGGACAGCACGCACGAGGTGACAGCCCAGCGACATGAAGGGATCATTCACAAGGCTTTCAGGCAGACATACCAATTCTTTAGTGAATGGCTTCAGCAGACTTTTCTTCTTCTTTTTTTTTTTTTTAAATATACAACATTTTATTTAAGCATGTAGGAAATACGAACATAAACCAGGGTATGAAACCAAGTTATGATTTTAGACTTCCACTTACAAGTTAACTCACTTTACATGAAAACATGAACCTCTAAATCTTCAAATGAATCTTTCATGTGATTTCAAACCTATGTGGGATTCACTAGCTCCAAAATCTAGAAGGCAGACCACTCAGAAAGTACACTTCTGTCCAGAACGCTCAGGCACCAGGGTATTCTAAGCCTTATCAAGGAGTCAGCATGCTAAGGCAGCAATGACCAGACAGAGGAAAATTTCTACTGGTAACGAGACTTTAAGAAATAATATTTACAAATAACTTTTTAAAAAAAGATTTATTTTGAGAGAGAGTGTGTGTGTGAGGGGAGGGACAGATGGAGAGAATCTTCAAGCAGACTCCCTGCTGAGCACATAACCCAGTGCGGGGCTCGATCTCATGACCCTGAGATCATGACCTGAGCCGAAACCGAGATGCTTAATCAGATGCTTATTCGGCTGAGCCACCTAGGTGCTCCTACAAATAACTTTCCCTTTTTTTTTTTTTTTTAAGATTTTATTTATTTATTTGACAGAGAGATGGCAAGTAGGCAGAGAGGCAGGCAGAGAAAGGGGCGGGGAGCAGGCCCCCCACTGAGCAGAGAGCCCGATACGGGGCTCAATCCCAGGACCCTGAGATCATGACCTGAGCCGAAGGCAGAGGCTTAATCCACTGAGCACCCAGGTGCCCCTACAGATAACTTTCTAATAGACCTTTTCAAATTTGTGAGTAATGAAAGCTACTTGAGAAAACATCTACAGAAGAGCAGAATTTAGAATATTTATTGGCACAGAAAGGTGTCAAGATCAGCAGAAAAGCCAGCATTAGACCTTAGACCTCATGATACATTGTCGAAGCCACCTTATGACCAACTTATGAGCTTGTGACTTTGCTGACTCTTCAAGCACAAAATAACTACTTTAGCCACTGAGTTTTTACCAGGCACCTTCCTAGACTTTGGGGAGACCAAGAAAAACGAGACAGGCATGTTTCTTACCTGCATGGAGCTTAAATATCAAGACTGGAACATTCCGCATAGCAAGCACACCACAGAAAGTTAGACCTGTTTTACAACTCTAATGTGATCCAGTCTTTGAGGCAACTCTCGAAGGGGAGGGGGGGCATGGAATGCAGCAAAGCAACCGAGAGCCCGGCCCACAGGAGACTCCAAGCAGGCCACTTATTAGCTGTGTGGTCTTGGGCAAGTTACTCAGTGTGTGTCTTCGTTCTCTTACCCATAAACCGTGGACAATAGTGGCACCGTATTAGTGGGCTGGGGCTGCCATGACAGGGTACCCCACAGATCATGGGGCTTAAATAGAAATCTATATTCTCACAGTTCTGGGGGCTAGTGAGACCTCCCTTGTTAGCTGGCAGGTGACACTTAGCCTTCTTGCTGTGTCTTTCCATGGGCTTCTCTTTGTTGCACGTCTGTGCCCTGATTTCCTCTTCTTACAGGACACCAGTGACATCAGACTTGGATCCACCCTAAAGATCTCGTTTTAACTCAGTGACCTCTTTAAAGGCCCTTTACCAAGTCCAGTCACACACTGACATAACTGGTGGGTCAAGATGCAACATATTAATTCTGGGGGATATAATTCAGCCCCTAACAGGTAACAAATGCAGACTGTAATACAAGGCACATGAAGGACTCTGAATAACGATTACAACTCTGAGTGAGGGCCTTGCGTTTCTTTTTTCCCAAATAGGTATTTTACTGGGAGAGGGCCAAAGTCCTCTGAACAGTCTTGGCAACATGTTACCAATGCCAGATGGCCACCAAAATAGAAAGCTCGCCTGGCGAGCTTTTGGCACCTGAGAAACATTATTGCTTGGGAGCAAGGTCACAGGCAGTTGCTGAGGCAGGAAAATTCAAGAGACAGATGTCTGGGAATAGGGAGGAAGCTGGCCTTCCCAACATCTACATGACCTGAACACTCAGATCAACAGCCCTGCAACAAAGTGAGCATCCCTCTATTTCTACAGATGGGGAAACAGGCTGAGGGGATCAGGGAACTGGCCCAACACGTGCAGCCAGCGAAGTGGTGCGGACTCGTGCACCAGTAAAAGCCTACTGAACCCGTAAGACCATGTGCTGTAAGACCCTGTACCATGACAGCTATGGGAAATGTGTCAGGACTGCAGGCTGTCAGAAGTCTATCCTCACTTTCCATATCCAGCCTCCAAACCCCATGATAAGTGCTTCCTCTAGTCCTCGGGAAAGGAAATGGCCCGTGTCTCCAGGTGGAAGCAGGGCTGAGGTTCAGGGAGTGAAGATGTGGGGTTAGAAATGTATCCCGAGTAAACATGAGGCCACCGGGCCACTGCCATGGGGCAGCTGGAAGATCTCAAAGGCTCAGAGGGAAATCTGTGAATGCAGAGCAGGCAGTGTGGTTCATGGATGTCTCACAGATGGCTACACTGCTGTGCCCGACAGCCCCAACTCAAACCACGGACCCCCAACCACATGCTGTCCAGGCCCCAAGCAATCTCTCTCTCTAATTTAAAGGCAAATCTGTTAGGGATTTGGAGGCAGGGTGGGAATTCCGTAGTCCCCCACCCCCCACTTTCTCTGTGGCTATTTTTCCCACACATCTTCTGCTCTGTTTCTTCTTTCACTGAAGTAATACCACCTACTTCTCCCAGTTCTAGCAAAAGCACCTTGAACCCATCAATGTGTGTTTTTGATTTTCTAACAAAGATGATGTGATTTTTTTTCTTTCTCTTAGAATGTTATGTATTTTCCCAGCGGGCAAGGCAAACCCTCATACTCTTTTGCAATGTCTCAAGCAATCTTTACCTACAGTAAGTAAACAGTAACTAACCCCACGAGGCAGACCCGAAGTCCTCATTAACCAGTGTTTCTACTCATGCCCTCTCTGTGTGGTATTTTGGAAGAACACACTTTCCCACGGGGACTGCTCCTTTGGCCCAATCATGAATCCCTGGGATAGCCAGGCTGCAGACAGGAAGAAGGACCCAGGAGCAGTACCCAGCTGCCCTACCTGGCCATACCCCTCCCCCTCCCTCACCCCTTTGGATATGGGACCTGGATATAGGTGGGATACCAGGCAGTTCAGGACTGAAGACAGGGGACCTGAAGTGTGTGTGTTGGGGGGGGAGGGAATACTGGTGTGCTTTGGCAAGATCTGGCATGACTTCAAATGATGGGCTTTTCTTTCTGTTCTCCTGTTAACCATAAAATCCAACTGCACGGATTTTATTTCGTGCCTGAGTGTTTTGGAGGCTTTGCTGCGCTGTGTTCTGGTGAATTGTATTATGGGTGAGGATATCTAGAATGGGACCGTCAGATAACGGTGATGGCTGGCATGCTGTATTGGGTGATGTCAAGTAACATTTTTTTGCCAAGTAATGGCTTTCTCTACGGCTTGTTCAA